GTTACAAGGCGATAATTGCCGATTTATCGGTAGGTGCTATGAATCTTTCGAGTTCCCATTTCTACCGAGTAGAGGCAACTAACGACGCTCAGGCACGCGCGAACCCCGGCAGCTCTTGACAAAGAATTTCATTACCAGCACGTCCGCTATGCGAGTGTGTCCTGATGGCATAATAGTTGAACATCTGCTGACTCATTCTCACTACGACACCTATTTTTTTTCATGGTAATGAAACTGACAAACAAATAGAGATGCTGGTAATGATCGCCGCTGCCTTTTTTATAATACCAATTGACGGGAAGTACTAGTTGTGGACCTGGTGGTAAGCAACTTGCTTTAAATCGCAAAGACCTGAGGGGCACTCTGAGACATAAATTGACAAGTTCTATGTGGATGTTGTTTCACCAGTACCTTTACCCTTCAAAACCGGAAAGCTTATATGCTCATATAGCTGCTTGGCGGCAGACACAGGCAAGGTGGCAATACTTTCCTGGACGAACTCTTTCACAAGGAGCTCTACAAACGCCTGCACAATGCGATACTAAGTGTAAGCACAGGTAATATAGCCTTAAGTCTTATTTGCCTTTGATTACGCAAGCTGCTTTGCGGTAGGATTATGGATATGTAAACAGATTACGAACTTATTATAACAAACAGGTGGGGTAATTTCACAAAAAAATAATTGATAATAATAATAACACACACACCAACATAGCCCCCGCACTAGGGAAACCCTGTGTCGCGGGTTCCATGGACACATACATAGACTACCACAAATTACACCCAAAACTCACGAGAGAAATAAATGTAGGCAATACAAATATTTCTCCCGGCCCGGGAATCGAACCTGAGACCTCTGCGTGATAGTTCGGCGATGGTAACCGTTCGGCGACAGAGCAGTTGATCTCAGTACTAAAAAATTCGACCTCAAAAGTCATTCATCCCTAAGGGATGCATACTAAGGTATGCATACTAAGGTATGCCATCCTTAGAGGTGGAATCTTTTCTTCAAATCTAAATGGGACCACTACTGAGGTACCCTCTTTCCAATAAAAATCATCAAAATCGATCCACAAATGCCCGGATCAAAAAAGTACAGTCGAATAGAGAACTTCCTCCTTTTTCTTTTAAGTTTTTTTTAAGTAAACTTAATATTAAGTTTTCGTAGATTATTTAATTGTAATGTGGCCATTAGGCCATTAGCCGTGACATTAGCATAGATTTTAATGACTGTACTTATCCTAACAGGGAGTGCACGAAACTCGCTTTCATCAGAGCAGTCTGATGGCCCTTACGTAAAGAAGCTTTGCTTGAAATTAACAAACTATTAGCTGTTGCTGTAATAGTATTAAAGCCGGTGATGTAATTATTATCATTATTGAATTGTCTCAAAGCGAAATGGCTTTCTAACGTCTAAATGTACCGACAGCTGGAGACAATCTGTGTATAGTCTTCCACTTAATTACTGTTCAAAGAGAGTTTTGTTGAATTGGAATCCATTTGATATTAGTACAAATTCTTTAATAATATACTGTGGACATTTGGCGAGCGAATTCAATAAAGTAGGTACACAAAGTATAGCTTCTTGATATCTCAAAATCTCGCTTAATTTGTTTAGTAGCAGTAGGCTCTTTTTGAAAGACTTTGTTCAGGGAAGTATTGCCACCTTACCTATTTGTTCCTTTTGAAGGGTAAGGGTGAAATTATAGGCACGTGGGACTTGTCAACTTTTATTACAAGGTTATTACTGCGCCCGTCGCAGTGGCAGTGACCTTAAGATCCTGGTGATTTAAAACTCTGAGTGGCAATGCAACTGTCATGTACAGGCGTGTCAATTACCACCAGGAGCACGACATGTTCATCCTATCACTTGTTATCGTAAAATAAATCTTTTGTAGTGTTGGAAATGAAACTATTTTTCGGATATAATTGGGTATATTTGTTTTTTCAAACAAACCAACGTTTCCACCAACAATGGTCACATTTTCAGGCCCACGGTTGACCATGGGCCTGAAAAGCCTCGAAACGTTGGTAGTGGTTTGAAAAAACAAATATAATCCGATGAATAGCTTCATTTCCTATATTTATACATAGGAAATCGCGACAACCTAAGAATTTGATATTTTATAGTGTTTTATAAGAATTACAAAAACGTGCGAAGTGTTTTCAATGTAAAGTTTGAGTGTATGAGTGTGTAGTATCCTGTACATAAGTGACTAGAAAAGGAAACTATATATCATCGTGACAAATGGCGGTAACGTGAATTGATCAAAGTTTAGCACATTAATGACTTTATCGTGATTCTCACTTTGAGACGATAGCATTATTTTTTATGGCCATGACACAGTTCTGCAAAAAACCCGGGGATTCCGCCCGTCGCATGTTTGTCAAAAACTCACCCGCCGCATCGTTAGCCCCCAGGCCCCCTCAAACGTGATTAGTTTTTATTGCTGTCCATTTCGCTAAACTTTCAAAGTTCAAGAAAATAACGGCTACAGAAAAACTGTTTTAAACCTAACGGAAAATTGCATTTAGTTTCACAATTCGAAATATTCAAGTTTACAAAATTTGAGAGTATTAAATATGTTGTGCCCAAACAAAACTCTATATAAAAGCTTTAATCGTATCTACCAATAAAGCAATCATCATTAATATTTAACAAGTTTTTCATTTAGGAGTAAGAAGAACAACAAGATTCAAAATCATTAATCTCAACCAATACACCGGTCTCCAGAGCGCCTTCGCTAGCTTAAGTAAACAATGACAAAGTATTGATTCTAACCGATGTTTGCAGTACCTCCCACTTAATAACTTAGCACTCCGTTTCATATTAGTTTGGCGTTTCCCTGACCTATGTAGCGATATCGTTAAGCAACAGTAAGCGAAGTCCACTGGAGGCGGTTTTGTTAAGTACAGAATGGTTGTTTACTGAGCCTCGGAGCGACTCTAACTCCACTCCTTAAGGTTTAATGTACCACGAGACTAAACATTACTAATAAAGCGGACTTTTCGTACAGGGACCTAATTTATCATTGTTAGACTTTGCCTCAAACGAAAGCATTTCCAACAAAATTTCTTTTTCACGCGACCCGACTCGAGCATGCTGATTATCATTCATTGGAGATTTTCCAATTAAGAATCTGACCGATTATTTTTCTGTATTGTTTGAATTTCGTACCTTACTTGGAATTCAATCAATAATGTTAAAGTATTTTTTTATAATGCGAAGTGTGGGACGAACAAGTCGTGCGCCTGGTGGTAAGCTGTCGCCTTTCCATGACAGTTGCAGTGCCACTTAGAGCTTTAAATTGCAAAGATCTTAGGTGCACTGCCACTGCGCCCGTTACCCAGAGACATAAGTTGACAAGTCCCTTGTGCCTGTAATTTTACCAGCACCCTTACCCTTCCAAATCGCAACAGAGTATTTTTTTTTAATTTTATTAAGGAATAACAACAGCCAACTTAAACACATCTTACAACGAACAATATTTGTCCTAAATAACTTACGCCAATAGTTATCCACAAACGAAATAAATTTTGAAGCCTTATAAACGAACAGAACAAAACAAAATTAGTAGTGAGCTTAGAGAATTTTTAAATTTAATTCTAATTAAATTAAAGTCTACAATAACTTATTTGTCGTGATGATACACAATTATATTAATAACATATAAGATATAACTAACGATATGTTATATAATATATAATCGATAACATGTATTTATATAATTATATACAATTAAATATAAAAAAACAAAACTTTTAATTAGTTTAAATTAGTTATTAAGAGAGATAGGTAAGGTGGCAGTACTTCCCTGGACGAACAAGGAGCTCTGCTGCTACTAAAAGCTAAAAGTACTAACTATTGTTTGGTGTAAAGTCGTTATCGGTGTTCCTCTACGTAGATCATTCTCCGAGGTCTTTTTTTAATGACAAATGTAAAGGTACGTGTTGCTATACCAAAAATTTTATAAGGCGAAAACATTAAAGAAACATGCATCTTGTAGGCATGCAGGGTGGAGGTTACTAGGGCTATGATTGTTTCAACAGTAGGTTCCTTCACGTTTGGATTCCACTTTCCTTTTTACATCAGATGGAGTGGAGTCATCTGCCTGTCAGGTATTAAAAAAAAAACATCTGCGGGGAAAATTTCTAGAAAATTTTAGGTATAAAACTTAGCTATAGATAAATAAATCAGTAATCAGCCTTAGGAGTGTAAGGATTTATAACGGAGCTATTATAGAATCCACATGTCAGTTTAGTATAGTGTCAAGGTAGAGGCTTAGTATCTATTGTTTTGTCAAGAAACCCTTCTCTCGGTGAAATTAAAAAATAAAACAATTATCTGGGTCTGTTTGTCGCTTTTCTTTTGCAATTTCCATTAAATTGCTTTGCGTTTGCCGCTAGACCGGGTTTAGTTGAGCGTGATCATGTTAAATTGCTAAAAAAATTGGTTCACTCTCGAAAAATCCTTTTTATTTATTCGGTCAGATAACTAAGACATGATTTTCAATCTTAGCTATTAATACAATGAACGGCGTTATTTATAGGACGAAAGACCTTTTGTTTAAATGTCACACTATTGAAAAGGTCAATTTCTTTTTATGACACCAAGAGACGAGGCCTGTGACCAGTCCATAACAGTTGCAGTATCACTCAGAGCATTAAATCGCAAATTTCTGAGGGCCACTGCCACTGCGCCCGTCACCCTGAGATGTAAGTTGCCAAGTTTTGTGTACCTGTAATTTCACCAACACCCTTACCCTTCAAAACTGTAACGCAGTATGCTCACATTACGACTTGGACGGCCTCTTCTACAAGAATCTCAACTGCTACTAAATGTGACTTGTTACAATAGTAGCACATACAATACTTAACACTTTATCATTAATTTCATGTTTTTGTGAGACTTTTCTTATGGGATATTCTTGTACGTAATTAATAAATATTGAATTATGTATAACGAAGAGTGACAATTATAGCCAAATCTCTTGTTTCAGTTACCAAATTCATTCGCATCGGCATCGCAGACAAGAATGACAATCCACCATACTTCGACAAAGAACTGTACGAGGCGGAGGTCGACGAGAATGAAGACATTCAACACACTGTACTCACCGTCACCGCCAAAGATCACGATGAATGTAAGTCACTTTTCATTTAAATAGTATGTCAAGTGAAAACGGTTACCCGGTGGAAACGCTCTATCGAGTGAAACGTTAGTTTCAAGCCGAAAGGAAAAATAGGAACAGATAAAATAGCGAACATATTAAACAAACAACTTTTAGTTTTTAAGCTATTTTTTAATAGCCTCGAATCATGTTCCAATATTGACTTTGTCGGTACAAGTAAGTCATTAATGAATTAAGAAAAGTACTTTTAAACAATTAACGACATTGTTTCTGAAAAGCGTGAACATAAAATGCACAATCTTTTTCACTTGCCACATGCCAACTAACATAGTATTATCTCAAAATTGCTTTACGTTATATTATATTACCTATTTAATGTCAAAGCGACGGTGTTGTCCTGTCACTTTGAACTTAAATCATACGATTTCGTATACACGAATGACACAGAAACGAAATTTTGGAGATTAGTATGTCACTTGTTGTACGTAGTTTTAGAATAAAAACGATCGGTTGATTTCGGCGTCGTCTTTCACACTGCTACCTGTGTGACGTTGTACGGTTACAGTTTTGGGAAGGAAATTTCTACAAATCCGAAGGTGGTCAATTATAGTAGATAGTCGTTTTGTAATATTTGAGGCCAATGTGTAATATTTACGGCCTAATATTTGTCCTTGTGTTTTATAGGTAAAAAATGTTCAAATGTCATGCAAATTTTTCGTGTTAAATTGTGAAATGATGACGAGTGTCAATTCATTTTCGACTTACCGCCGTTAATTTAAGAGCCTGTCTTTTGAAAATATAATAAGCTATCTCGGGCACTACTTAGAAATGTTTTAACAGCATTAATCTTGACGGCACCTAAAATTTAATTAAATTAAAGTGACTCATTTGACTTGCATGATACGTGATCGTGTCACACGACTATTATGAAATTTAATTTATGAATTCGGTGAAATTAAGTTGATACTGTTTCAAAAGGCTTAATAAAAGTGTTGGCTTTTAATGTTACTCAACAGCATGTGGAACTTTGTTAGTACTTAGTAGATAGAACTCGATCGGTGCCTTATAAAGTAAGTTTTTTTTATCATATGAAATAGGTTAATTTGCCTCGAGGGTTTGCTTAGGGATAAGACACTTTGGTAAATAGTCTTGGGCTATGTCTTTAAAGACTGGCGAAAGTTGTAAGTTAACGTTCACATCCATTAAAAATCTTCCTTATTATGTAAATGTATATATACGTAACGTAAAGTAGCTTATTGCTTAAAAAATATATATATTCCAATTGACTTCGCCGTAGCCAAATTAAATTCACAAAGAATAACTAGCCCGACTAAGTACCTACTAAATATAGGAATTCATTCTGTATTCCAACGTATTTATAATAACAAATGTTTACTATGCATAGAATGCAAAGAAAAAATATACTTAATTTATGTACTTATTTATTTTCCTATCGTTACTGTTTTTTTTTTTTGGGCGCGTCTATTGAATTAGTCAGTTAAGCTATTCCGGGTTTTATTTCAACACGTGTAAGTTCTATTTAATTGAAAAGTTATGAGGCGTAATTTCTTGTACTATCATCATTTATTAGGTAGAGCGTAGTTGCGACTCTTAGACATAAATTACGTCTTGTGTCACAATAGCAAACTTAGAACGATGATTCTGAGAAGAAATTGAGATGAAAGTTATTACGGTCGTTCCTCTTGAGCTAGGTTGTGCGTATTTATTACACCAATAATAGATATTAAGGGCTTTAGAAGTTGAAACATACAAGCTTATGGAAGCGGTCACGTGAGCAAAAGTGGCAAAACGGAGTTTTTTTCCACTAGCAAACATGTGTTTGTTTCTTTCTACATATATTACACTTGCAAGTGATAACAAGGCCATTTACTGCAGCTGTTATTTTATTCATTTCGACCACGGAGCTGTTCCAGGGCCTAATCTACATCGGGCTATCTTTTTGCAAAGGTCCATGCGGTTTTTGCCACTAGCTAAATTTAAACTCTTTTAATCTTTTTTTTTAATTTTAGTAGCAGTAGAGCTCCTTCTGATAGAGTTTGTCGAGGCAAGTACTGCCACCTTTCCTATTTCTGCCGCCAAGCAGTAATGTGAACTTTTGAAGCGTCTTAGCGTTTTATGAGCGACTTTGAAGGACTAAAGGTGCTGGTAAAATTACAAGGACATGGGACTTGTCAAGTTATATCTCAGGGTGACTGGCGCAGTGGCAGTGCCCCTCAGATCTTTGCGATTTAAACCTCTGAGTGGCACTATAACAGGCGTGTAGCTTACCATCAAGCGCGCGACTTGTTCGTCCCGTCACTTCATATGATAATAAAAAAATACAACATTTCTCTTTTAAAATGTTACTTATATTGTCTGTGGTTATTGTAACGCCGATTTTAAGAATAGGCGGGAAAGTTTTAAGTTTATAATAATGAAAAACGCTCAGAACTGATGAATTGCAAAAGGCGACACATTTCATCACGATAAGGCCAAACCATATACATGTTTAAAAACTATTATAGTTAACTTGGGATGCGTAACCTCGTCCACAGTATTCGCCCCTTCAGATTATCATTTGTTTCGATTTTTATAAAATTGATTGAAGGGACACGACTTTGATAACAAAGAAACCATTAAACGACATTAAAATACAGCCTTGTATTTTGTAAGTAAAGACAAGGAAATTTTGTAAAAGGGGACTTCTAAAACTACCCGAAAGATGGCAAAAGATTGTAGATCAACATGGCAAGTTCGAAATTTATTTTATTAAACGTTTTTCATTTATACTTTAAAGACTCTTTTGCCAACTCTATGTGATGTGTCGTTTATATGTATTTTTTTTATAATACAGGATCATAATAACGGGATGAACAAGTCGTGCGCCTGGTGGTAAGCGACACGCTTATCCATGACAGTTGTAGTGCCACTGGAGGTTTTACTCGCAGATCTTAAGGACACCGCTACTGTGCCCATCACCCTGAGACATAAGTCAACAAGTCCCATGTGCACGTAATTTCACCAAAATTGTATACTGCCGCGATTAGCCTGATCTCTTCCAGCCAACTCAAGGCAGTAAGAGGTTATAAGCGGGCAACAGCGTGCAACAGAGAATGAGAGAGAAATGTAATAAACTACGTAAATAAAAATTACCGTTACTTACATACATACTGTGGGCCCCTTCGACGACCCATACTTGAATGAGGATTATATAGGACTGTAGAGAAAATGCCTGGTTGAGAATTCTTCCTGAGCTTCTTGGACTTGCTCGGATCGCGTTCAGATTTGGAATGCCGTCCTACTTTTTTTTTTTTTTTTTTTTTTTATGAATGACATTTTGCAGTTGGCCGCTGATGGCCTTTACTGCGCCACCGGAGAAAAAGGGCGAGCTGAAGGCTCATAACCCCTAAAAGCCGTCCTACTGCCAACGCTCCGTCTTTTATATTATTGTTGGCCTGCCGTACCGCTCGCACTCTTTTCAAGTGTGCGAGCGGGACGGCACCAATATAGGAGCGGGACGGGAGAACTATAAAGATTCCAATCAAGACCCGCCCACCTCTCATTTATTTACCAAAATTGTACTTAACAAGAACTTAACATAACTAATATGTACAACAATAACAAATCACAATCTTATAAATAACTCAATAAATCACTTGGGCGCGAAAACTTTTTCGTCCTGAACACATACATAAATTGTAGTGTAAAGCTCTATTTTTAATCGACTTAAAAAAAAGAAGGTGGTTCTCTCTTCGACTGGATGACTATTTTTTCTGTATGTATGTCACGCGATAACTCTGGCATTTGTGAACCGATTTTGATAATTATTTTTTTGTTGAAAAGAGGGTACCTCAGTAATAGTACCGTTTCAATTTGAATAAAATATCTACTACCTGTGGCAAACGCCTCCTACCGTTTGCCTCTACGTGTGGCAAACGGTAACCTATTACAAAGTCGAAAATTTTTTGTCCGAAATAACGTTTGTTCGAATTTTCACTACACCGAATTATAACGAAACAGTTGTTCTTTCAGGATATGTTGAATGTTCATCGCAAAGACACGTTTAGGTTCGGATAGGTTAGGCTAAGTTAGGTTTAAAAGAAAAAACTTTAAACTTACTTACTTACTTTTTTTAAATTACTTTCGAGGTTATGAAATTTAGACCAAACGTTATTTCTGGAAAATGTCATTTCGAACTACTGATAGGTAACCGTGGCAAACTAGGAGAAGAATGACTTTTCAGGTCGATTTTTTAGTACTCTTTACTGAGTTATTCAGTTCATATTCGTGAAACATGGGTTTACAGTAACACGGATATTCTTAGAAAATACAAAGACAAATAAATGATAATGGGCAGGTTACAACAGACGGTCATAATTAACCGCGTAGCATTTCCATGTAACTGTGGGAAGATAGGGTTGGTGAACTTAAAAACAATGGGTAGATGAGACAGAAATACTACACGAAAGTAATATTTATATTATAGCAACGTAAATAAAATGTTAGGAATGTATAAAAATGTATATGTATAATATGCCAATATAAACTACTGACATGGAAAAAATGGAACTGGTAGAAGTAAAAAAAACCCTTAGTTATTTGATATTTTTAGTTGAGGATAACAACTTTTGCTGTATAGGTAAACGTGGGTATAAAACGAAGAGAGGCCCTTGCATAATAAAACGGGATTTTATAACCTTGTCTAGTGGCTTAATTTATAAAACAAATAAAAACACCCGACCCGCGGCTGGAGACACGCGCGGCCGTGGCCGCTACAAATTACCATTAAATTAATTTTATTTTACACATAACCCCTTTATTTATTTAGGATACGAAAGATACTGAACCCTTTTGTTTTACCTTACAAACCAAAACGATACACGTAGGTCACCAAGTGTTTTTTGCGTGTCTGGGTTTCTGTATTCACTCTTTATTTATTTTGTTCACTACTAAAATTAAGTTTACCTCTGTTTGGATAGATTTTGCGATTGAAGCACAATTGTATGGAACGC